AGGCAGACAAAAAGTTCGTGTCGAAATTTTTGCCTGAGTTCCCCCTCAGGTGTTTTGCCTAAAATTTAGGACGAAAACTTAGTCAGTTCTTAACTTAATCATAGTCAGTTCGTGATGAGGATCCTTCACTAGCTGCATGACCATTGATTGTTGTGCCGTTGTCATTTTGTTCGTGATGGTAGTGGTCCGGTCGCGAAGGCATTGTCGTGGGTGGCGATGCTCAAGATTGAGTGGATAGTTGAGTGGGTTTGTAAGCTGTAGCGTTTGTGGCGGCTGTTGGGAGGATGTTGTATTAGAAAAAACACAGAAAAATGGTTTTATGTGAAGGCAACCGGTTTCGGGCTATTTTCACTTAAAAAGTTCATGACTGGGGCGAAAATTGATCAGAACGACGTAAAAACTTTAGAAGCATATGGAAACTACCTGCTTTTTCCTCGCAACGGTTGAAGCCAGGAGACCGCGATATTTGGATCGGGCATGTCGAGAAACACTGTTCACCAAGTTTCGTCTTAAAGGCAGACAAAAAGTTCGTGTCGAAATTTTTGCCTGAGTTCCCCCTCAGGTGTTTTGCCTAAAATTTAGGACGAAAACTTAGTCAGTTCTTAACTTAATCATAGTCAGTTCGTGATGAGGATCCTTCTCCTTCTTATTGTATAATACAGAAGTTGAACTTCTGTATTATACACATGATTCTCAAAATTGGTATCACTTCTGTTATGTGGCTCTAGTCATGATACTTGTAACGCTACCAGAGATTGTTAAATTTGTATCACTGAATTTGATATGATTTTAAATGTTTATTTAGATACGTAGACAGGGATACAAAATGACTAATTGTGGGACTGGTAGACTTAGGGAAGGGGTGCGGGCGGAGGGGGATTAAAATTAACACAAAATGTGGCACGTGAGTATCATACTGCAACCCTCCTCAATTCGGGCAAAGTTCTTGCCAATGGTGGTTACGGACCGTCCGGTTATCTTGTTAGTTGTGAAATATATGATCCATCATCGGGCAAATGGAACACTACTGGAAGCATGGCAATGGCACGTGACTATCATACTGCAACCCTGCTCAGTTCGGGCAAAGTTCTTGTCACTGGTGGTGGAGGATCGTCCCGCCAGTTTGCGAGTTGTGAAATATACTATCCTTGAATCTTCTATTGTCAGTGGAAAAGGAAGTGCCGCGCCTTCTTACTTTTCTGTCTGGGGTGTGACGATTCTTTGTCACAACCTCTTCTTCCAGTACGTACATCTGTCGGTAGGACTCCTTTTTGTTTCGTTCTCTCCCTTGTCTGTTTTCGTTCTTTCTCAGCTTTCTTCTTTTGCTGTTCTTATCTTTTGTACATGCAGTAGTACATATATATTAAGTGTTTTTCTTGTGTGAGAGTTAGTTTTTTGTAGTTTGTGATAAAGAGTAGTGGAATAAAAGAGTAATACTACAGATCTTAACGCACGCATACAATCAACTCAAGGACTTATAATTAGGGGTAATATAGGTTCCTCACACTTGGCGATCTCGTCTTGCCGAATCTTCCGTTCTCCTGCAAAACTCTTTTTTTTTTCTTTCTATCTTTCTTTATATTGTCTGGTAAGTCACATTGGTTTTTATCATGGCTGAAAATTTCTATCGTAAATTTCATAATTTATCCACCTCCGAAAGGTCCATCCAGGACCATCTTCAAAAGCTTTATGATAATCATCGCTCTCAGGCTGTACTCACAGATTCTCAAATACAGGAACAAAATGAAAAAATTGACTGTAAGAACCAGCATATCGAGAATCAAATTGAACTACTTCAGCATGCATTACAGTTGAAAGTAGATGATACTTCCTTGGCTACCAAAAACCAGTTGGAACGTTTGGCTCTAATCTTAGAGGACAGTCATCTTGCACTGCGCTCGACCATGTATGATTATCCCTCCGTACCTTTGCCTCTTCCTCCACTTGATCGTTCATCGGTTTCTGAACCACTTATTGTTTCCCCCTCTCTTCGCCGCCCTTCTTGCGATACTCATCCTTACTGTTTCCCTAGTGTACACTTTTGGGACATGTCCTTCGAACAGGGGCAAGAAGAAGCGCCATTTGAACTCGGTGACTTTGTCCTTATCGGTAAGGAACATCGTAAGCTCCCAGCACGAATTATCCAAATTCTCTTTCTGCAGGACAAATATGAAATTGAATTCTATGATGGCTGTGACTTTCTTGCACAGCGCTATCTGACCTCGAGTTGTTACGTATTTCCTTACTCCATTCAGGATGACTCCGTTTATCAAGCGCACACATCGGATATTCCTTTTTCAAACCCTGAAGATGAACGCACTCTGTCAGTAGATGGCGACTCAACGGAAGCTGAAATAGTCCAGCTAGCTCCGATTTCCTTTTCGTCTACCGATAAACCCCTTGTATCTGCTTCCGACGAATGTGTCGAT